AGCATAACTCCTGCTGCAAGTTGCAGAACTGTGAAGCCCTGACATGGGAAGAGAAGGGAAAGGGAGTGAAGAAAGATTGAAGCCGTGTTATGCACCCATACCAACTCTCCATGATGAAAATAACCATTAGGGAAGCAAACATGTTCTAAGAAAAACTTCAAAATAAATAAATGAAGTCAGACAGGGATAAAAACAAGAATGTGAAATGTTCAGCGATGGCAACAGTGAACGGCGGAGTGAGCTCCAAGAAATGCTGGGTCTACTAGGGACACAGCCCCAGAGGCGCAGGAGGCACTCGGGTGTGCAATCAGGGTTCCTCTTCTCTTGGAAAAGGGTCAGGGCGTTCGAAGCTGGCTGGGCCACCAGTGTGAGTCCGAAGCCTCTCAAAGCCTCTTGTAGCGAGCAATGCAACCGCTGGCCTCAGCCCCGCGGAGGGAAGGATGAAAGCAGTCACGGAGGAAACTAGCATTGCACCTGGCCACTTTGTTTGTTTGTGCTTGTCCTGCTCTTCGGTTCTTGTACTAAAAATATCATAGCACTCCACGATTGCAATCAGCCTATGCTGCGATGGAGAACACGGGTAGAAAGTAGGTGCTTGTCTGTGTGGGGCCAAGGTTCAGAGAATGCAAATGCCAAGTCTAATTTGTTTACGGTCCTTTAATTATTGCTTATTCTGTTAACTTCTTTATTAAATCAATGTCTTTTATGTTTAATGTTAAATTTTAACCACAGTATAGCCAAATGTGTTTAAATATACCCCATGAATATTTTAGGGAGCTTTAACTTATCCATTACTGAAGAAAAATAATAGTAAGATTAATATCCAAGAAGTCACCAAATAAATAAAAACAACAATTAAAAAAACACATGTCACCCATGTGTCTCAAATTTTTCAGCATGAGCTTGGGCCTGAAGCCCTGCCACACCTTTACTGTGACAGCACTGGGGGGTCTGTTCAGTAAGGATCACATTATGTGATGAGACACTGGGGCTTGAGACTCTGTCAGGTGCTTTAAATAATTCTGCTAATTTTCTCTCCTTTCAATTGGTCAACCACAACTGCTCCCCTGTAGCACAGGATTCACCCTTCAGGTTCTCATTCTCACATGGGTACTAAACTGAAACATATATCGTATTCCCAATCCGCTATGTATTCTTTTGTACAAGGGTTCATAACACAGGAACTTCTTTTAAAAAATCTCTTATCTATTTACTTGGCACAGGGACTCCTATGCAGCTCAGTCTTGTAGTGATCCTCCTGTCTCAGCCTCTCCAGTGCCGGGATTACAGGTGTGCGTCACCACTCTCGGTTTTGGGGTGGCATGGTATGTGGGACCGGGGATCAAACCCAGGTCCTTGTGCTTGCCAGGCAGGCACTTAGATCACTGAGCTATCTTCCCAGCCCAACATAAGAACTTTAGAAGCAATATAAAAAATCGAGACTGAGTTTTAGTAATGTAACTTAACAGGCAGCACTGGATGACAATATCTGATATAATTAATCACTATAATACAAGTCAGAAATATTAACATATTCCACAGCCCCTCACAGCACCCTTTGGTAGAGCGGTAGTGATTCTATCCATGGATTCTATGGCTTTCATTTAACCAACTGTGGCTCAAAAATACCACCACCCTGGTTTCCTCTGCATTACACATGCAGACTTTTGTCTTAATTCTCTAAACAGTAGTACAGTAACTACATACACAGCATACATGCATATATATATGTATATATATACATATGGTATTGTAAGTCATAGAAGAGGTCTGATTAAAATATATGGTGAATATCTAAATCAAAATTTATTACAGTAAAAGATACACTGCAATTAATTCCCTTCAAAACACTCTTCGCTAGCAGTCCTCTCACGCAAGTGTCTTCACAGGTATGGTTAAGAATGAAGCAGGGAAGGGCAGCACAGTCTGTCCATAAGGCACCTGGCAACTTCTGGCTCTTTCTCAAAGTCAGAATGATCCGTAAACACTTTGAACTGACACAGAACAGCATGGAAACCACGATGATGCAGCTGAAGAGACTCAAGAGAGAAGACTTAGAACTGCTTCGGAAAGTGGCGAGAACCATGGGATGAGCTTATCTGAGGCGAGGGGGAGTATGTTGAGGGAGGTTAATGGCAGTGTCTCTTTTACTGAGGACGTTTTTTTAAAAATTCACACATTCACTTTGTTTTTCTCTCACACCTCAGAGATGATTCAGTGTACGCAGGAGAAAAGAACAGTAATTGTTCCTGCTCCTTTCACATAAGGGACCTGGGTACCTATGCAAGCAGGGACCTCTGCATATACGTATGGGGTACAGTTGCGCATGTGCTCGACTACATGCTGCATTTGTGTATATGTCTTCCTAGCTCTGTGGCTGTTTGGTCTTCTCCAAAAGTGGGAGTTACAGAAGGAGGATCTGGTCTGCCTGCTGCTGAGTCGCTGACATCTGAAGCTGTGGCTGGCACACAATAGTGTTCAGAAGGTTCCTGTGCTGCTCAGATCCCAAATGAGAGATCCGAAAATAGAACCTTCTTTCCTCAAAGGGCTCAGGGGTGCTGACTTCCATGTAAGGACCTTTAACTCGAGTGCTGGGTCTATGGACAGAGCCCAGCTTCGGTTTCCATAGTGGGACGCAAATCGGCCAGATCATTCAGCTCTCACAGGTGTCATCCTGAGCACACGAGAGACGGTATTGCTGGGTCTCCTGGGGCACCGGTAGGCTCTGCCTTGGCTGAGGAGCCGCCGATTTCACTTACTGCTCACGGGCTATGCAGGGTCCTTCCCCGTCCCTTCCCTCCTCCCGCAAGCCTGTCCTGGTTGCTGTCCCCACGTTCCAGGCACTCCAGGCCCCTCCTTCCAACTGGCCACATGCCTCACAGTGACTTCCGCTAACACCTGTCTCCCGCTTTCTGGAGGCCACACTCTGTCAGGGAACAGCAGGCCTGCTCTCTCCCCTGTGGCCAGTGCGTGCAAACACTTCAGTGAATACAGAATGGGCCGAACGAATCTGCTACTGACTAAAAGTGAAGCCCAGCAAAAAATAGGGACAGCGGAAGAGCAGCATTCTGGCTTCTGATGGATGCATAAGGGAATGCATAGCAAAAAGGAGAAGGAAACTACTGCAGATGGTGACACAACAGTCTTAACTTTTAAATCAGGGAAACAAAAAAAGTAATGGGGGGTTCCTTTCCTTGCACTGCGAAGATATGACCCTGTAAAGTGGCCACATTCGGAGGACAAGTTCACTTGCACAGGAGACAGAACGGGCAGTGTGAGAGCCCGCAGAAGTTGGAGCGCAGTGTTTAGAAGCAGTGAAGAGAGTAAAATGAAACAAAGACTTGGGACGGGGGTGTGGCTCAGTGCTACCCCAGTGCGCATTAAAGCCCTGAGTCCAGTCCCAGCAAATAAGGAAGGAGTAAGGAAAAAGAAAAGGGAAAATAAAAGGAAAAAATGGAAAGGAGGGAGACGGAGACCCCTGGCTCCTCTGCTTACCGCATCTGTAAAGTGAGGAGAGCAGGACCTCCTTCACAATGCAGAGGGCACCGTGGTGTAACTGGCACTAAAGCACTCTGCAGCCGCAGGGCGCTACGAGCAGGACTTGCAGCCTCCACCCAAGAGTCCTGAGCACATCTCAGAAAGAGCAGAAGCACGCAGACTTGCAGGCTCTAGTGGGTCCTGCAATGCTCCTGCAGTATGGGTCCTAACAGGTTCACTCGCTGGTAGAGCAGCCAGCTCTGGAGCAGGCCGAAGCACCTCGGGCTCCACAACTTCACGCTCCTCTACTGCCCTGATGGTCCAACGCGCTATGCACACGTTGCCTTCCTTCACCCCTGACTTAGAAGCAGCTCCTACTTTCCCAGATTTCACACCTCAAGGCATGGAGGTCAGTGAGCCCCATGAGGGTGCTCTGTCTCCTCGGCAGCGATGGCGGCCAAGCCCCCTGGCCAGGCCTCTCCTCCCCACGGCCACGGGAGGCTGCCCACAGAGCCCGAGCACAACAGCCCCGCAGAGGTCACCTCTACTTGCTCCCTATCTAGGTTATTTCCCACAGCCTGTGAGCATGTACGCGACGCCTGCTCCTGACAGCCAATGGGGAGGGATGAAGGCAGAAAGAAGCTGGTGAGGATCCCAAAGACACGCGCATGACTCCGTGCATCTTCCTTGAGGCTCACCCACACACAGATGCAAGGCTCACACACACAGCCAATAAGTGGGCGTGCAGAAAGGGTACGGGGCTTGCGGGTGGGAGGAAGGGAGGACCACAGATGCACAGGGAACACCGGGACAGCAAATCGCAAGATGGGGTGGGGGAGGAGGAAAACGACAAACACAGCCCAGATGACAACGGCACTGGAGCTTATGACATGGAGGTGCGCTACGTTCTACGGTAAGCTGTTCAAGTACCACCTTGATACTTCTCTTAAGGTAACAACTTGCTATTTTGAGAAAAACACAGATTTGGAAAAGCGGAATAGAGTAATAGCTCCCTGTTTTGACTTTAGAGGTTTAAAGATGTGAGTCTGAATCTTTAATCCATAGATTTAAGTGTGCGACTCTGGGCAAATCACACGGCCTCCGTGTCCTCACCTCCTCCTCCCATAGACTCTCCGTGAAGACAACATGGGGTCACATACGGGAAGCTGCTTCTCAGCACCAGCCACAGAGCAGGGCTTACTCAGCGTTACCTGCTGTTCACTTGTCCCTGCAGTGCTGGGGACGGAGCCTGAGGCCTCACACCTGCCAGGCAAGTGAAGCTCAAGGCCCTCCCCGGTGTCAGCACCCTTGGAGTGCGTGGTGGGCAGCAATGACCGTACAGCCGGGTGGTGGGGTGGGGCTGGGGAGTCCACAGACACCCTTCCTTCTAGGGAGTAAAGGGCTGCTTTTACACAGGGCTTCTGTCAGGCACCAGGGCAGGGCCACGATGGAAGATGGGTGTGAGAGGGTGAACAGAGCAGGAAGCAGAGCCTGAAGGAGCACACACCTCTGGGCACACTCACCGAGTCTGGGTCTCGCTGCTGCTCGAGAAAAGCTGAGAACTCCACCAGGCGAAGCTTGGTTGTGCCAATAGAGCGGCCCTGCCAGGCAGGGACGGAGGGAGCCGGGGCTGATGTAGGCTCAAACCCTGAAAAACCAATGTCACCTTCAAAACTGGCATTTGTTGTCCCCAGACTTGGCCCAGTACTGGGGGGAGGGGTTTTGTTTACAATGGATGACCTCAAAGGGAAGACCAAAGAGCCCCCAGCAGATCCAAGGAGAACTCAACCAGGCAGTGGTAACATCTAGCCGAGGCTCCGTGCGACAGGCACCAGGTGGACAGGTGTAGTACACAAGCTCCTTGTGAAGCCAACTGTGTCCAAGATTTAAGGGCGTGGTGCGGGGGTCATTTAACGCCCAACAAAGAGCCCCAGTTAAGGGCCAAGCCAAGAATGGCTCAAGAGCCAGAGAGAAGCTTCCCAACACCTGTGAGACCAGGCATGGCAGGCACTTCTGATGCTCATCCACCTTAAGACTGTGGGCACCAAACTACCCAGTATTCTCTTGGGAGCTCCAGACCTTGGAGCACGGAGTAACCTATGAGGGTGTTTTTCACTTGAGGCCTCTAGAGGGGACAGCAATGACTTTTGTGCTGCACTCTGAGCAGATCAACTGAGAGACTATAGATGCGTGGAACAGGTGCTGGGGGTGGGGATGGGGTGGCCCGGGGAGGCAGGAGACAGGTGGGTCCTCCCAACTCTTAATTTTTATTTTGGCTTCCACATAAGCCCTGCTTTGCAGAAAAGGCCCTAGGAAGGGGCCTCTAGGAAAGTGAGAGTACAACCACATTTGGGCTCTCGACTCATATTGCCTAATTCAGCCAGTTTATGATGAGGAAGGAACCGCAGCTTCCCCTCCTGAGTGTGACCACTGTGACCACTGCACCCAGTGGAAATGACCCGCCTTCCTGTTTCCCTGCAAATGTTTCTGAAGAGCACTTGCGAGATGAGTATGGGGCTTAGGCCTCGGGTAGGGGACACCTCCAGGAGGACACCCCCTCTTGAGTGCCAGGCCCCTGCCACCCCTCAGGAGAACAGAGGTGAAAGTGGTAGCTACGGTTCCCAAGTGTGAGGAGACATGTGGCTATGGCAAAGATGGCACCATGCACCTCCTCCAGCCCCACAAGAAAGCGAAGAAGACTCACCTGGAATGGGGGCTGTGACTGCAGGCTGGATGGGGTAGGCCTGCTGCACGAAGGGCTTGACACTAGGGACGAACAGGAGATAAGAGTCATAAGTCACGGGCACACATGTCCAGGCCTGCCTGGCCTTGCACTGAGGACCCTGCATTGCACTGTTCCCTGCCTACAGGGGGACGCACATCCCAGGCAGGGCTCTGTGGACAGAGGTGGTCGCTCCCTCCAACTAACAGAGACCAGCAGGCTTCTGGGGTCAAACCACCACACCTCAGGCCAGGAGCAGGTCAAGGTGGACAAAGAGCAGCCTGATTTTCATGGTGAAGAGTCGGCAGATACCATGTGTATGCAAGGTCTAGAACATGCTTGAGCCTCTCCGGCTCTGGGGCATTTAGTTCAGATTCTTTTAATAGGGATTCCTTTCTGCTTTTATTCTTGAACTGCTCCTTCTTTTGGTGGCCTGAGCCAGTTGTCCTTGCCCCAAAGCATCTGCAGATATTTTATTAGCCAGCTCCACCTGAAGGAAAGGCAGAAAGGAAAGCTCCACAGGATTCCCTCTGCTGCCCTGTCAGGTGAGGAAGACTGCAGGCTCTGCCCGCCCAAGCCACAGAGCAAAAGGGATCGACTTCCTCTTTCCAGCAGGATGACCATCAGCAGCAAAGGGGGGAGTGAGGTATTCACACTTTTGCTGGATCTGAGAAGGCTGCTGCAGGAATCTGTTTAACCCTCCTTTGTCCCCTAAGCCCTGAAAGTTTGGTGCAGGGAGGATTTTCCCCCAGGATAGGCTGTCACGAGCCTCAGACTTACTCTTGTGAGGATCCTGGCTGCCCTGTTTGTATCATTCCAGGCCAGAACTAGAAGGTAAAAGCAAAAGTATCTTAAGCACAGTTGAGGATGTGTACACACTACAACCCCTGTTGAAAGACAGCAGGCTGCCATTTCTTACCAGGTGCAGTAGCATCCTCCTTAATCAGTGATGTGGTCACCACACACTGCACAAAATCACAACCTACCCCTGGCCTAGCAACCGAGGGCTCTCTTAGCCCATCTGCCCTGAAAATCCTTGCCAGGCAGGAAGCCAGGTGGCTCATATTTAGCTCTCATTTCACCTAACAAAGAATGGGTGCTTGGAGTGCTGCTTCCTCTGAGAGTGTGCCTCTCTTCCTCTTCTCTCCTCTCTGTCTCTCTCTCCTCCCCCCTCCTTCCCTCCCTCCCTCTCTTTCTTTCTTGTGGTACTGGGGATTGAACTCATGACCTAGCACTTGCCAGGCAGGTGCTTACACCACTAAGCTATCTCCTCAACCCTCTCCCTTCATTCTTAAGTGCTCTCTGAAGAATATTCTGCTCCACTGGCTTGGCGCGCCCAAGGCCCAGGGGAACAGTGGACACAGCCCAGAACAAGAAGGGGAGGAGCTCAGAGAGGCAACATAGCCCCCTCTTTTCTGTGAGTGCCTCTGAGTCCTCTGGTATCTGCTGTTTCCCGCCAGAGACTGCCCACAGGGGAATGGCTGCTTTCAGTCACGCAGACCTACAGCTAAATCCTGACAGCGCTCTATGTCAGCCTTTGGCCACACTGCCCAAGCTGTCATTTTGCTCCTAAGCAACCTCAGTTCTCTCATCTGTAAAACGGCCACAACAGTAAAAGGCATCTAAGATGGCAGTGAGGATGAAAGACTACAGGACAATGCTTCGTAGCTCCAAGTGAAATGACTAAGTGAAAACACTAACAGAATGCTTTCTCTCTTTAGGGGCTATGTGCCATAAAATGACCCGGGGATGCTGGAACAGAGATTAGGGGCCAGGAAAAAGAAAAGTTTGAGAGAGAAGAGCCTACAATCTAAAAGCTAACCAGAGAAGTGATACTTAATTTCTGCCTTCATGGACTGAGGACTTCTCCCTCTTCCTCTCTCTCTTCTGTTTCTTTTCTAACCTTTCCTACCCCTGACCCAACTGATGGAAGTGCCAGGCTTGGTGCTGGCTGGCAGCCACAGCCACACCCCACTCAGCCATCCTCATTCCTGGGTCTGCTTTCTACTTACCCCCGGAGCCCCTGGGAAAGTGGGGCGTGGGATTCCAGGCAGCCCCAGCTTGTTGTGGATGGCAGTGGCCGAGACAATCTGGGCTGATGACATGGCGGCCATGTGCTGGAGGGCCTTATCCTTTGCAGTCTGATCCTTGAAGGTGACAGTGACACTGACTTAATGGAGAATGCATGGCTACCAGGCAGATTAAACAGCCACAGCCACAAGCACATGGACTAAAATACAGAACCACAAAAGAGGCCAAAAAAGCAAACATGCGTGGATAAATAAACACGGCCAGAGGCTAAAACACACTCAACCTACCGAAACGCTGCACGTTTGCTAAGAACACCCAGCGGCGAGGATTTTTTTTAAATCTTATTCCATTTTCCAACAGAATAGGGAAGCCTCTGAAGAGGTGACAATGAATTTATTTTTTCAGCTTCCCAAAGATTTACCCAATTACTTAGCACACTAGGGGAATGGGCTGGATGAGGCCATGCTTATAGCAGGGGAGACACGTTTGTGGACTGCGGATAGTGTGTGGAGCTCAGTGTGCGCTCCGGCTGGCACGAGGCTGTAGTCCCTGGAGTGCTGGGGGCCCAGCCCCGGCAGACACCGGGCAGGGTGGCTCAGAAGTGGCGGGTAGGGGGTGGGCCAAGCAGCATGCCAGCAGGCGCATGCGTTCTCCCCACGCGGCCCCACCGTGGTCTAGGGCTGAGGCCTCTTAGCAAGAGCCAAGGGCGCAGGGCACAGTGCAGGGGTAGTCTCTCCTTTCACTAAATGGGCCTTCTCTAGAAAAGCCAAGACTAGTAACACAAAGCTAGCCAAAAAAGTCTGCCAAGCACAGCTAAAATATAGAATTCTCAGTTGAATGAAAATACTTACCATGCTTGTTACCTGGATGCAATAATAAACAATTATTAAAAAGATTGAATAAAAAAGGATTACTTTTCTTCTTCAGTTAAAAAAATACATATATATGTACACAAACACAATACTTGGGTACAATAAAATGGAGTAAGTCTTAATCTTCCTTCTTCAACATTTTAGGAATGTGTGCCCTACGTGGTATTTAGAAAGCCAACTATCAATGTCACCCAGTAACAGCCACAGTTAAAAACTGCCTCCCCCCCCCCCGCCCGGCCAGATGCTGCCCCAGGACTGAGGGAGCACCATCATGGGAAGAAAAAAATGCTGAAGTCCCAATAACACAGGGCCTCCGCGGCTGCCGTCATCAGAACTCACAGTAGGGGACAGTGAAAGGCAGCTGCAGGCTCAGACACTGGACACCAGCTGAGGGGCAGCAACCTCGCTTACTGAGCCAACCAAGGTGAGACATAAACACACTGAGGCGCCAAAGGCAAGGCCAGGAGGAATGAGAAACAACCTTGGCCTGTAGACGGTGTGGGGCTTCAGAGAAAGACACGGGGTTCTACTCGGAGGCAGGGGCACCGCGCTTCCCCGTCACTTGTCAGAACCACCCTGTGAATTTCTCAAGAAGCTTTATAGCCCCCCTGACACACGCACGCACACACACACACGCACGCACGCACTGGGGAGGAAAAAAGGGAGGAGCAGAGTGGACTCAAGACCTGCATAAATTGTTATTCTGTACAGTTCTATGGCTCATAACTGAAAAATGAATGAGCCCCGAGTACAGCTCTCTGTTGGCACCCAAGGACACTGTGACCGTCTGACATGCTGGAGCTGAGGGACACTGGGATCTCTGATCCTGGTCCCAGTGGGAATGGCCTCAGGTAACTCGGTGCTGTTGTCTCCTTTTTATTGTATGACATTTTCCCAGGTGAGGCTCCGTTTTCTACCCTGTTAAATGTTCTAATCTGAAGCCAGCTTCTTCAGGTAACATTAAATATAAAAATAAAATCTTTCAGTAGACAGGATCTGACAGTAAATCAATGGGAGTGGGACATCCCCTGAGCTGAACTGAGCCCCATGAGCACAGGTGGGCGTGCCAGCCAGTGCACCTGGAGATGGTCCTGGGGTTTCCCAGCCCCTGCCTGGCCCACCCCCCAGAGGGTCATCTACGGACAGAAAACACAGCTGTCACACCTCTACCCCGAGCTCACGACTACCTCGACCTCAATGCCAACTTGGCTTCTCTTTGGACTAGTCTCACTGGACTCGAGCCCTGAAGCCACTTAACCCCTTATAAGAGGTTATAAAGCTGCTCAAAACAATTCTAAAAACTGAGGTAATGACATAGGTGTGACCACAGGCGCCTCCCTCCACCAGCCCTGCGACTCCTTTGGGGCTGGGCTAGGCGGCCTAGGAGACCTGGAAGGCCTGGTGGTGTGAATTCTGAACAGCTACAAAAGAACTCATGGGCATGGGTCTGTTCCAGAACATGGTGGGGCTGCTTGCAGCCCTGCACCTCTAGGTTATGCAATGCTGACAACAGGTGATTCTGCTTGCCCAGGTACAGGCCTGCTGGGCACAAAGGGTGGGGCAAGCCGAGAGTACAAAGTGCAGCTCCAAACGGACAGTCCCCTGCACTTCCATCACCCATTTTCTGTTAAGTGTTGCCTGGAATGTGGCTCTTTGCCAAGCTTATTGAAAAGTTCCTCAAAATTTCATAAAAGCTTGACATTTCTGTTTGGAAAAGAGACATCAGCCAACGTGGGAAGAGAAAAGGAGCTCTGGTTCTCTATGTCAGTCTCAGAACACGATCTCTTTCTTCTGTTTAATGTTTGACCCTTATTACCCAGCATTCAATTAGGTACCTAAATGAAAACAAGAATGCACGAAAAGTGTAAGGGGAGATCCATGCCTCTAGGGTGCTGACTGTGCCTGACTGCAACAGGCACACCTGCCATGGGGGCAAGAGGCCTGGGCGCCAACCTGCCCAGGCTGACGGCCACGCGCTGTGATCCCCGCACTGTGGGCAGGCGACTTTACCACCCCCTAATTTCTTTCATCTGCCAAATAAGGAGGCACAGCTTATTCTCTAATGTCCTTCTGGTGTGAAAGGTATTTGTAGCTATGAGGGTGAGGTCCATTATAAAGCAAACGTGCCTTAATACACAGCCAAGAAAATTACTAGTGGGAAGACAGCAGGATGTTAAAAGTGTGGGCAGCTCTTAGACGCCTGTCCTGATAAAAGACAAAGCCAAGTGTGGAAAGAAAATTTTATCTCAAGTAGTGGCTCTTTCTGCACTTGACCTACCTATCTGAGTATAGGCAATTTTCTGCAAATGGACTAAAACGTCTATACCAATGATTTCGCACCTTTTGTAGTAGAACCACTCTACTCAATTTTATAGTGTGGCCCTTCAGCTATGATATACATGGGAACATTAAGAAGATTAATTTTGGGGAGGGTATTGTTTAAAATCTAAAGCAACCTTGAAGGGAGATCATAAGCACCTCCAGGTCCACCTGGAAATCAGAACTGAGAGCCTATCCACAGACCCACTTACCCTGAAATGGGAGCTAGAAAGAATGCAGAGTTAAGAGATTTCAATGGCTAGATCTCTCAACTGTCACTTTCAGCCCCGAGACACATACCTGGGTTTGGAAAAATTAGAACTCTAAGTGTCAGACTGGAGTAAATTGCTGCTCTGTTTCACTCTGGCCTAATATCCTGGCCTCTCACACATTCTACTCCATTCTTTCCTCTTACCCCATGCTGAAGGGGAGGGGACTGATCCTAAGCGCATCTCTGCACACCAGTTTAATTTTAAGGTACACCAGCATGTCTGAGTGGATGAAATTTACAAAGGATGAGTATGTTGTTTTATCTTGAAAAACTGCTATTAAGTCAATATTGAGTTATGCTCTACAATGTCTTATATTACAGGAGAAAAAGAGGGAGGTAGGTACACAGACATATGAGCAGCGGAAGAAAAACGTGCTTGAGAAGAAAGCGTGGACAAGTTCACACTGCCTCCTTCTCACCGACTTTAAACTGCTGTATCTAAAATTAGAATGAAGCCGGAAAAGACTGAATGTTTTAGAGAACGAAGTGGCAGGGGGGCAGAGATAGAGGGCAAGTCTCTCCCTCCTGACTGGACCTTAACTTAAGCCCTTGACCTGCAATAAGGAACATGAGTGTGGAGGAGGAACCGTGAGTCCTGAGACTGTGGTTGGGGACGTGGGCGGGTGCTAAGAACAAACGTGCGCAGACACAGCGCCTGACTTGCACTGCCTGGCTTATTACCTGCTCTGCCTTCCTCACAATCCAATTTGTGGCACACCATACCAGCAGCAGCCCCACTGCCGCGGTCCAGCAGGCTGTGTCAGGCACAAACTCCTCCGCCCGGAGCCTTTCAAATTGCTATCGTTACTAAGTAAACAGGCTTTCATATTTCATGAAGTAGGCAAGGATGCTACTACAACTCCGTTCTGCTGACTGCCTTCTCTTTATGACTGAAAACAGACACGATGTCTGGAAAATGTCTGTGTATGACAGTAGCACCGCAAAGATACACGGCAGGAACAGGGTGCTTTCAGAATTCTGGAATATCTTAAGGATCAGACTCCGGATATCACAAGGACCTTATCCTCCTTTCTCCCCCACTGCTTCCCTCGCTTTCAATTATTCTGTGAAATCAATCATTGCATACTCGTTAGGCATGAAACACAGACAAATGACAAAGGTAACATATAAAAGTCACATGCTTACAAATATATAACACATTATAGCTTCCATATACAGGATGTCAATGAACAGCACACAAAAATCAACATAACCCAGTTTATTCATGGGTCATCATTCTAGAAGTTAGAGTCCAATTTAATTTACTCATTAGATGTCTACCAATATATCAGGAAAAATACAAAGACCATGAATTCAAAAACTCTTGATGCTTTTCATGTTTTCCCCCAAAATATACTTACTACAGCAATATAAAACTATGACGCAAGGTTGGAAAGATGGCAATTGGCTTGAAGATTACTTTTTCAGAGAAAAATAAAACACAAAATATCCCCTTAAGAAGTAATTTTGCAGATGTTATTTCTAATCTTGCACTATCTGAATTCACATGATCTCTGCAATTATTAGCCATAGCCCTTGAACGGATAAACATCACTGAACTATATGATGGCTCTGGAGAAAGGACGGAGGGCACTTGAATTTTTTCTAGCCATGATCTCTCATTTGCTTATGATTAGAGAAGGCAGGAGTAAATACAAAAGAGGGCTATTCTGGCCAGGCAGCAGCTACTGTGGGGGAGAGAAGGCACATTCATACTTCTTCTGACTTGCCGCTTAATGAGTAGCAATTAATTCATCTCATTGTATTTCCAAATGCCAAAGACTCCATTCACATCAAAGAAAAAATTTTCAAGGCTTTTACCATTGTTCATTTTTAAATGTATCAAGCTATATTTAGCATTTTATAATTGTCCACAGCGCTTCCTTTAATTCTGATGTGGGCCCAGCATCATAAAGGAGTGGAGATGGAGAGCCTGGTAAGCGTTCCCATGGCTCCCGGGCAGCCCGCCCTGCAGGGCAGCTCCGAGCCTCATCTGGGTGTTCGCAAAGGGCACACTAGGACCTTAGTCTCTTTCCACCCAGGAGCTAAGAGCAAAAGGCACGAGGTAGCTGGCCCTGGGAGGCCATAGGTCCCTGCCTAGATAGACGTGTGCTCCAGAAAAAACATATGCCCTTCCTTGCTTCCCTGCCCCAGTCTCCTTTAAATGCAAGGACACAAGCAGAAGGGTTAGGGGGATATGAATCTTCTTCCCTGCTCTGACCAGCACCCTGGGGGGGGGGGGGGAGAGAACAACACTACGTAAAGGGACTGGGCTTTGGTCCCACACAGCCCAGGATCAGATTCAAATTTCTCACCCTTGGCAAGTCTCACAGACATTCTGGGCCTCGCCTTCCTCTTTGACCAAGTAAGGACAAGACCACCCATTTTCGAGATGGCTTCA